CCAGCGCCATGTTCTGTGCCACCCCCGGGTAGTCAGCACACGTCATAGCGAGCAGTGGAACTCCCGGTTGAACTCCTGGTCAAGGGGACAATTTGCATATTCAGCTTTTATTATATAGGATATCCTATATTAATGGCAATTTACCAGTGTTGAACTGGATACACAAAAATCTACTTAAGGATCTGTCACTGTGTTTCCTATTTATATTAAAAATGAATCTAACTTGCCGAACCGGTTTGGCTCAGTGGATAGAGCGTCGGCCTGCGGACTCAAGGGTCCTGGGTTCGATTCCGGTCAAGGGCATGTACCTTGGTTGCGGGCACGTCCCCACTGGGGGACTTGCAGGAGGCAGCTGATCGATCTCTCTCATCGATGTTTCTGACTTTCTATCCCTCTCCCTTCTTCTCTGTAAAAAATCAATAAAATATATATTTAAAAAAAAATGAATCTAACCAATAACTCATTAACTTCATGTAAGAATCATCAATTCTGCAATACTTCGTGTGGCCTAGAATGTTAATGGTACAAGGTGGATTTCTTTTCTAGTAATGAGAGATGATACAACATAGAAAGCAGAATACTTTTTAAGCAGATAACTTAAAAAACTTACTAGTAATAAGATAACTTACTGGTAAAAAAGATAATATTTATCAAGAGCTTACTAAGTGATAGGCTCTATTTCTATTATATTGTTATTATTAACTTTTTATCCCTTGGTTTTTCACATGATATCCTCAGTTATCCTTTTTTCCCCAGACTTATTGTTCTCAGTTTCATTACCCATTACACATAATTTGAATTTTTTTCTCCTCATCAGGTACTAGACTTTGTTTCGCTTCCTTTTACAGGATGGCACCCCAAATCTGTACTCTAGATGTGTTCTGATATTTTCAGAGCAAAGAAAGAATGTGCTAAGTCTGTATATTATAATTCTGTTGATGCAGCTTAAACTTACATAAACTTAGTGTATTAAAGTAGTACTAAAATTAAAATTCTTAAGCCCTCTAAAGACATCCTACAGATGAGTTTTTTCTCTCTCTTATTCTATACTTGTATAGCTGTTTTGGAATTCACTATAGAATCTTAGCATTTATTCCTATGAAACTTCTTGTTAGATGTCAGTTCTTTTGGATCCTTGTTTTATTATCCAGTGTTTTCACTGTACTTTGCAGCTTCATGTCATCTGCAAAACTAGAACAAATTTCTTTCTCCTTTATTACAATTTCACAGATAGAAGCTTTGTTCTTACTGTAAATCTTAGCAACCCTACATATAATTGTTTTCCCCTTATTAAGTCAAAATTCTCATCTTTTCATTTAAAGAAAGCACTTTATGGCTTTCTTGGCATATCTGAATTGCCAACATCACTACTCTTACAGTTTGGGGCCATTATTAAGTAAAATAAATGTTACTTGACCACAAGTACTGCAGTACCATGACAGCTGATTATAACTGAGACAGCTACTAAGTGGCGAATGGGCAGGCAGTGTATACAATGTGGATACACTGGAAAAAGGGATGACTCATGTTCCAGGTGGGCTGGAGCAGGACAGCCCAAGATTTTATTATGCTACTCAGAACAGCAAGCAATTTAAAACTTGCGACGTTTTTTCTCTAGAATTTTCCTTTTAGTATTTTCAGACCACGGTTGACCAGGGGTAACTGGTTGGGGCGTGTACAGGAGGCAATTGACCAATGTTTCTCTCAAACAGTAATGTTTCTGTCTCTCTCTCTTTTTCTCTCTACCTTCCTCTCTCTCTCAAATCAATAAACATCCTCGGTTGAGGATAAAAAAATGCACAGGAATGAAGTGCTGTACTCACTCCTACCAATATTTATATTATTTAATAGTGTTGGGAATTTTAATTTATTGATAATACTTTTAAAATAGGAACTAAATCATATACTTTTTTATTTTCATAACTTGTATTTGAGATGTTAATGAGACAGAAAGGATGCAGTTTATATTATACTAGAGGCCCAGTGCACAAAAATTTGTGCACTCAGGGGGAAGGAGGGGTCCCTCAGCCTGGCCTGTGCCCTCTCGCAGTCTGGGACCCCTCAGGAGATAACGCCCTGCTGGCTTAGGCCTGCTCCTGGGTGGCAGAGGGCAGGCCCAATCCCTAGGTGCAGCCCCTGGTCAGGCTCAGAGCAGGGCCGACTGGGGAGTTGGGGCGCCGCCCCTGTCATGCACAGAGCAGGGCGGATCGGGAGGTTGCGATGCCACCCTCAGTCACGCTCAGGGTAGGGCTGATTGGGGGTTGGGGCACTGCCCCCTGCCACACTCAAGGCAGGGTCGATGGGGAGGTTGCGGCGCCACCCCCTGTCACGCACAGAGTAGGGCAAATCTGGGGGTTGGGGCGCCACCCCCTGTCACGCACAGAGCAGGGCCCATCAGGGGGGTTGGGGCTCCTTACCCTGTCACGCACAGAGCAGGGCCGATCAGGGGGTTGGGGCGCCGCCACTGTCACACTCAGGGCAGGGCCGATGGGGAGGTTATGGCTCTACCCCATCACACACACACACAGCAAGGCCCGTGGGGCGGGGAGGGGTTGGGGCACCGCCCTCTATCACCCACGGAGCAGGGTCGATCAGGGGGTTGGGACCCACCACTCTCACTCAGGGCAGGGCCGATGGGGAGGTTATGGCTCTACCCTGTCACACACAGAGCAGGGCCCGTGTGGGGCGGGGGGGACCCGCCCCCTGTCACACACAGAGCCGCAGGGCGATCAGGGGGTTTGGGCGCTGCCCCCTGTCACGCTGATCCCGGTGCCGGGAGGCCTCGCAGCTCTGCTGATCCCGGTCCTGGGAGGCATATTACCCTTTTACTATATAGGAATATAGGATAGAGGCCTGGTGCATGGGTGGGGCTGGCTGGTTTTCCCTGAAGGGTGTCCTGGATCAGGGTAGGGGTCCCCACTGGGGGGCCTGGTCAGCCTGGGTGAGGGGATGATGGCTGTTTGCAGGTGGTCACACGCCCTTCAGGGTGGGGGTCCCCACTGGGGTGCCTGGCCAGTCTGGGTGAGGGGCTGAGGGCTGAAGCTCCCAGCTACTCCTTTTTTACTTTATTTTTTTATTCTGGGCCAGCTTTAGCTCTGGCTCCAGCTCTGAGGCCTCTGCTGCTGAAAGCAGGTATCTGGTTTGTTAGGGTTCTATAATCGAAACAATGTATAACTCCAGCTCTGAGATCCCGGCTCGCTGAAAGCACGTTTCTGGGGTTTTGTTTAGCTTCTATATTTGTTACAATGTTTCAAACTGCAGGCTCAGAGGCCGGCAAGGCAGGCGGGGAACATTGGAGTCCTCTGTCACTGAAGCAAGCAAGCCTCATGTTAGTTTCAAGCTGCCTGGCTGCCGGTCACCATCTTGGCTGGCAGTTAATTTGCATATCCCCCTGATTAGCCAATGGGAAGGGTAGTGGTCGTACGCTAATTACCATGTTTCTCTTTTATTAGATAGGATAGGTGTTTTGTGTTTTATGCATTATAAACAGCTGTGATCTAGTTTGAAGTATTTATGTATTAATTTTTAAAATATAGTTGTATTGATTTCAAAGAGGAAGAGAAAGGGAGAGATAGAAACATCACTGATGAGAGAGAATCATTGATTGGCTGCCCCCCGCAGACCCCCCACTGGAAATAGAGCCCGAACACTGTGCATGTGCCCAGTTGTCCTGACTAGGAATCAAACCGTGACTTCCTGGTTCATAGGTAAATGCTCAACCACTGAGCCACGCCAGCCCAGCTAATTTTCTTTTTTAATCCTCACCCAAGGACATACTCAGAGAGAGAAAGAGAGGAAGAGAGAGAGAGTGTGAGAAGGAGAGAAACATCAACGTGAGAGAAAGAGACACATCATTCGTTGCCTTCCATACATGCTCCGACCAGAGATCGAACCCACAACCCAGGTATGTGCCCCAACCCGGAATCGAACCAGCAACTTTTTGGTGCATGGGGTAACACTCAACCAACTGAGCCACACCAGCTGCACTAATTTCTTTTTTTAAATTTTTATTTATTTATTTTAAATATATTTTTATTGATATCAGAGAGGAAGGAGAGGGAGAGAGAGAGAGATAGAGACATCAATGATGAGAGAGAATCATTGATCGGCCGCCTCCTGCATACCTCCCACCTGGTATCGATCACGCAACCTGGGCATGTGCCCTTGACCAAAATCAAACCCCGGACGCTTCAATCCACAGGCCGATGCTCTATCCACTGAACCAAAACATCTAGGGCTAATTTTTTTTTAAATGATTCTTTCTACCCCCCTTCTTTTAAAAAAAATATTTATTGATTGAATTCAGAGAGAAAGAGAGAGAAAGAGAGAAGAGAAACATCAATTTGTTGTCCTACTTATTTATGCATTCATAAGTTGTTTCTTGTATGTGCCCTGACTGGGATTGAATCCGTAACCTTGGCTATGGGGACGATGCTCTAACCAAATGAGCTATCTTAGCATCTATATATTAATTTGTTATGTCTGACGCAACAAACTACTACAAACTCAGTTGCTTAAAAAACCAGAAATTTATTCTCTTACAGTTCTGAAGGCCAAACATCTGAAATTAATATATCTGGGCTGAAATTAAGGTGTTGGTAGGGCTGTACTCCCTCTGGAGACTCTAGGGGAGAATTTGTTCTTTGCTTCTTCCAGCTTCTGGTGGCTGCCAGTATTACTTGGTTTGTGGCTCCATCACAGTAATCTCTGTCTCTGTGGCCACATTACCTTCTCTTTTGCCTGTGTCAAATCTTATAATAGACCTGTGGTTATATTTAGGGCCCACCAGGATAATCTCCCCTTCTCGGAATCCTTAGTCATACCTGCAAAGCCTTTTATTGCCATGGAAAGTCACCTTCAAAAGCTCCAGGGATTAGGATGTGGATGTCTTTTTAGGGAGCCATTATTTAATATACCACAGTCCTTATTGCCTTTCACTTGTTCTTTTTTCCCCCCTCATCTCTTTTCTTCTCTCCGATTTTTTTTTCTTCATCTTTCAGAAGCACAGATTGTGTGGGTATGATCTGAAGTTGTGATCAAGAGTTGAGTAGCCCTGGCTGGTGTATCTCAGTGATAGCTCAGACTTTAATTTAATGAAGGTAAATAGAAGAGTTGGCAGAATTGTGATCCAAAAGTCAATTGTCAAGAGACCTTTGTGGTTTGGGGCATAAACTCATAATCTGTGGGCCTCTGCTTCTTTTTCGTTTTTTTAAAAATTGATTTCAGAGAGGAAGAGAGAGAGAGAAACATCAATGATGAGAAACATTGATCGGCTGCCTCCTGCACACCCCCTACTGGGGACTGAGTCCGCAACCCTGGCATGTGCTCTTGACCAAAATCGAACCTAGGACCCTTCAGTCCGTAGGCTGACACTCTATCCACTGAGCCCAACTGTCTAGGGCAGGCCTCTGTTTCTTAATATCTATGTTGAAGGAGTTGAATTACATGACTGGTTATTATCCCTTGTAACTTTAAAAGCCTCTGTTGCCTGGCTGGTGTGATTCAATGGTTGAGCATCAACCTATGAACCAGGAGGTCACAGTTTGATTCCTGGTCAGGGCACATGTCCAAATTGCAGACTTGATCCCCAGTAGGGGGTGTGCAGGAGGCAGCCAATCAATGATTCTCTCTTATCATTGATGTTTCTATCTCTTTCTCCCTCTCCTTCCTCTTTGAAATCAATAAAAATATATTTTTTAAAAAGCCTCTGTCTGGTATTTAGCATAATGTATGTAAAACACAACAAACAACAAATTTTATTTATTTTGTACTATTAGGAAAAGATATCATATTGGCAAGATTATTTTGAATTAACTGTTTGTGCTTTTTGTTTTTCTGTAGATGGACCATACATCCCCGACCTACATGCTTGCTAACTTAACACACTTACATTCTGAACAACTTCTGCAGGGTCTGAATCTTCTTCGTCAACATCATGAACTCTGTGACATCATTCTTCGAGTAGGTGATGTTAAAATTCATGCTCACAAAGTGGTACTTGCCAGCATCAGCCCATATTTCAAAGCTATGTTTACTGGAAATCTTTCTGAAAAAGAGAACAGTGAGGTTGAGTTTCAGTGCATTGATGAAACTGCTCTCCAGGCTATTGTGGAATATGCCTACACAGGGACTATTTTTATTTCACAGGACACAGTGGAATCTCTCCTTCCAGCAGCAAACCTACTCCAGATAAAACTTGTCCTGAAAGAATGTTGTGCATTTCTTGAAAGCCAACTTGATCCTGGTAATTGTATTGGAATTTCTCGTTTTGCAGAGACGTATGGTTGTCATGACCTTTATTTGGCAGCCACTAAATATATATGCCAGAATTTTGAAGCTGTTTGCCAGACTGAAGAATTTTTTGAGCTTACACATGCTGATTTGGATGAAATTGTTTCCAATGACTGTTTGAATGTAGCTACCGAAGAGACTGTTTTTTATGCACTTGAATCTTGGATCAATTATGATGTACAAGAACGCCAGAAATACTTAGCACAGCTACTTAACAGTGTGCGATTACCATTGCTAAGTGTTAAGTTTCTCACTAGATTGTATGAAGCAAATCATCTTATCCGTGATGACCGTACTTGTAAACATCTTTTGAATGAAGCCCTAAAGTACCACTTTATGCCTGAACATAGACTCTCTCATCAGTCAGTCTTGATGACACGACCTCGCTGTGCTCCCAAAGTACTTTGTGCAGTAGGAGGAAAATCTGGACTGTTTGCCTCTTTGGATAGGTAAATAGAAGGATTGATATTAATAGATTTTATACTTTCTAAATGTGCTTTCCATAATTTTAAAATAGTTTGATTTTCTTATTTTTTAAAAATTTGCTTCTTTTTTCTCTTCTTCCTAAACACTTACCTGATTGTTTCAATGACATTGTCATTCATTCTCTACACCACTTAATTATTAACACCCCAACTTGCAGTGTACAAACTTCATCTCTTCTGGGTACTTACTAACTTTTCTATTTTATGTCTTTTTTATTTGTGAAACCATTTGTGTCTTTATTAGAGTCACACCAGGTCAGAGGGATTTATTATTGCTAGCTATATCAGAAGGTGCTAAAGAGGAGAGCTAGAAATCTGATGAGGGAGACTTAGGGCCAACATTGGGTTTGAATGAATTCAGTTAATTAGAAGAACCACTAAAGAAATAAGAAAAAGTAGGATATTGATACAAATCATGGACTTTATATGCAATTTATTTTCTTCACTGTAAATTTTTGTAGTGACAGTAGTAAAAAGTGCTTTCTTTTCTAATAACTTGGAGTTATCAGACTATTTCTATGAAGAGCCAAATAATAAATATTTTAGACTTTGTGGCCATATGGTCTCTGTTATAACTACTCAACTCTGCCATGTGTGAGAGAAGTCATAGACAGTACATAAATGAATTAGCATAGCTAGGTTCCAATAAAACTTTATTTACAAAAGTATTGAGCTGAATTTGGCCCATACTGTTATTTGCCAATCCCTGATTTAGAGCATTATACAAATAACTTTTATATATTGAAAATATAACTGGATGTTATCTTTGCTTTTCGCTTAAAGGGGATTGCTTCATAAAAACTTTTGTGTTTGATAATATTTCTTCAATACTGTGGATTTCTTTCTGGCTATTTCCAAAAATTTGGTAGATTGCTTTCCCCGCCTCAATGGTAGGGTGTTTTATCAATGTCAACTGATATATTCTGTATCTTTTAAAAATATCTTTTTATTGATTTTAGAGAGAGGAAGGGGGAGAGAGAGGGGGAGAGAGAGAGAAACATTGATGTGAGAAAGAAACATCACCAGGCTGATCAGAAATTGAACCAGCAACTTTTCAGTGCCCAGGGATGCACAGGATGATGTTCAATCAACTGAAGCACTATTCTGAATTTTCTGTGCAGTATTCCTTTGTGTTATAATTTTGCCATATCTTTTATGTGCCCCAACATATCGTTAGTTTTTACACTTTTTTTTCTTCTTCTTTTTTTTTTAAAGAATAGTTTATTGATTTTTAGGGAGTGAGGAAAGGAGAGGGAGAGAGAAACATCAACGTGAGAGTACAACATTGATTGGCTGCCTCTTGTATCCCCCTACCAGGGATTGAACCCACAACCCAGGCATCTGCCCTTGACTGGGAATCCATCTGGCAACCTCCTGGTGCACAGGATGACGCCCAGCCAACTGAGCCATAATGGCCAGGGCTATACATTTTTATATAAATGAAGTAGTACTATATATATTTTTCATATATGTGTTTTCTCTCTCAGCAGTAAGTTTATGAAAGCATGAGAGACTGCATAAGGAAATAGTTTATTTAGTTCCACTGGTGTGCGGTATTATGTGGACATAATACAATACTTTCTAGAATGAACATGTTAATTATAAAAATAAATTGAAATGCTACACACATGCAGAAAAGTTCACAAATTCTAAGTGTACAGCTTAGAATTATCACAAAGTGAACATTACAAACCAGATTAAGAAACAGGAAACATGACTAAAACCCAGAAACCATCCTTGAGTTCCCTCCCTGTCTTCCCCAAAGGTCAACACTATCCTCATTTTTAATCCAGAGGTTAGAAATGTTTTTGAACTTCATATGACTGAAACTATACAGAATATAATTTTCTCAATTTTGGCTTCTTTCCCTCAATGTTATATGTGTAAGATTCATCCCTGTTGCATGTAGCTATAGTTTGTTCATTTCATTGCTTTGTAGTATTCTCTTGTATAATATGCCGCAATTTATCCATTTTTTTGTTGATGAACATTTGGAACATTCAAAAACATCTAGTTTTTAACTATTACAAATAATGCATCTGTGACATCCTTGTACATGTATATATGTGTACTTTTCTCTTGGGTATACTAGTATATCTAGGAATGGAATTGCTCAGTCATAGGGTGGATATACCATCTTATTTATTCACTAGAGGCCCAGCGCACGAAATTCATGCACTTGGAGGGCGGTGTCCCTCAGCCTGGCCTGTGCCCTCTCACAGTTCAGGAGCCCTCGCTCTTTACTACCCACCTGCTCACTGCTCCTTACCGCTCAGCTTGCTGCTCCTTAGCGCTGCCCCAGAGGCAGGAGAGGCTCCTGCCACCACCACTGCACTCGCCAGCCGTGAGCCTGGCTTCTGGCTGAGCGGTGCCCCCCCTGTGGGAGCACACTGACTACTAGGGGGCAATTCCTGCCTTGAGCGTCAGCCCCCTGGTGGTCAGTGCGCATTGTAGCGACCGGTTGTTCTGGTCATTCTGCTGTAATGGTCACTTAGGCTTTTATTATATAGATAGAGGCCCAGTGCATGAAATTCATGCACTTGGGAGGAGGTCCCTCAGCCTGGCCTATGCCCTCTCTCAGTCCAGGAGCCCTCACTCCTCACCACCTGCCTGCTCACTGCTCCTTACTGCTCAGCTTGCTGCTCCTTAGCGCTGCCCCAGAGGCAGGAGAGGCTCCCGCCACCGCCACTGCACTCACCAGCCATGAGCCTGGCTTCTGGCTGAGCAGTGCGCCCCCTGTGGGAGCGCACTGACCACCAGGGGGAAGCTCCTGCATTGAGCGTCTGCCCCCTGGTAGTCAGTGCGCATCATAGCAACCGGTCATTCTGGTCGTTCCGCTGTAATGGTCACTTAGGCTTTTACTATATAGATTCTTCTTTTGATGGATGATTGTGTTGTGCTGCTATGAACATTTCTGTATATGTGGCCTGGTGTAAAACTGTAATATGCATTCAATAGAATACATATACAGGAATGAAACTGCTGTCAGGCATGTATATATCTTCAAATTTACCAGAAAATGTGAAATCATTTTCCAGGGTAGTTTTGCCAGTTTACACTCTCACCAACAGAGTATTTATTCCTTGCTCCACATCCTTGTCAGTAGTTATTATCTGACTTTAAATTTTTCCCAGTCTGGAAAGTGTGTCATGGTTTAATGTGATTTTAGTTTCATGTCCCTGATTACTAACGAAATTAAACATTTTTGTTTATGGACCATTTTGATTTTTAAAATGTAATTGTTTCTGCTTATTCTTTAGTGTGGAGATGTACTTTCCTCAGAATGACTCTTGGATTGGTTTGGCACCCCTAAACATGCCTCGCTATGAATTTGGAATATGCGTTTTAGACCAAAAAGTGTATGTTATAGGTGGTATTGAAACTGATGTGCGTCCTGATTTCACTATCAGAAATCATGAAAATTCAGTAGAATGCTGGAATCCTGATACAAATACCTGGACTTCTCTTGAGAGAATGAATGAGCACCGAAGTACCCTTGGAGTGGTAGTACTTGCAGGAGAACTTTATGCTTTAGGTGGTTATGATGGACAGTCTTATTTACAGTCTGTAGAGAAGTATATTCCCAAATTAAGAAAATGGGAACCTGTGGCACCAATGACTACAACACGAAGTTGTTTTGCTGCAGCTGTGCTGGATGGAATGATATATGCCATTGGTGGGTATGGTCCCGCCCACATGAACAGGTATTTAACTTAATCAAGCTGTAGATTTTTAAAGTATTAACAATTAGTGGCCCAGTGAACGGAATTCGTGTGGGCGGGGGCGGGGGGTTGTCCCTCAGCCCCGCCTGCACCCTCTCCAATCTGGGACCCCCCGGGGGATGTCCGGCTGCTGGTTTAGGCCCGATCCCTGTGGGCCTAAACTGGCAGTCAGATATCCATCCCTCTTGCAATCCAGGACCGCTGGCTCCTAACTGCTCACCTGCCTGCTTGCCTGATCGCCCCTAACCACTCTGCCTGCCGGCCTGATTGCCCCCCTTCCGGCCTGATCACCCCTAACTTCCCCACCCCTGCTGGCCTGATCAGCCCCCAACTGCCCCCCCCCCCCCCGCTGGCCTGCTCGCCCCCACCTGCCACCCCCTGATGGCCTGATGGCTCCCAACTACCCACCTCCCTGCTGACCTGCTTGCCCCCAACTGCCCCTCCAGCTGGCTTGCTCGCCCCCAACTGCCCCCCCAGGCGGCCTGCTCACTCCCAACTGCCACCCCCTTCCGGCCTGATCACCCCTAACTGTCCCATTCCTGCCAGCCTGATTGCCACCAACTGCCCCCCCCCCCCCCACCGCCTACCTGCTTGCCCCCAACTGTCCTCCCCACACTGGCCTGCTTGCCCCCAACTGCCCCCCTGCAGGCCTGCTCACCCCCAACTGCTCCTCCTGCTGGCCTGCTCTTCCCCAAGTGCCCCCCCCCCCCCCCGCTGGCCTGCTCTCCCCCAATTGACCCCACCCTGCCAGCCTGCTTGCCCCCAACTGCCCCCCCTCTTGGCCTTCTCGCCCCCAACTGCCCCCCTCCCACCGGCCTGATCGCCCCCCTGTCCCCCCTGCCGGCCTGATCACCCCAAACCTGCCTTTGCCTCGGCCCCACCACCATGACTTTGTCCGGAAGGTTTGCCTGTGTCTAATTAGCATATTATCCTTTAATTAGTATAGATGATTTCTGGTTTTTAAACAATTTGTGTGTATAAATTAACTTCCCCTTTTAATTTTTAAAGTAATAATAATAGATGTTTTGGAAATTTAATCTGCCCTATAAGTATAATTATAATTGTTTATGTGGGGATTTAATACAAACCTAAGAGTCAAATGCTTCTTACTAAATTTTATATTCAATCAATATAAATGGATGGATTTTAAAATTCAGAAATCTGAAAATAAGATTAAGTTAGACAACTAGATTTTGGGTTGTGTGTGTGTGTAAATGGCCTGTTATTGCGCTGCTTAATAGAATAAAAAGGTGAAAAATGCAATTCCTATATGCTTACACTATGTATGTATATTTATTTTAAAATATATATTTACTTATTAAAAAATATCCTCACCTGAGGATATTTTTCCGTTGATTTTTAGAGAGAGTGGAAGGAAGGGGGAGAGACAAACATCCATGTGAGAGAGATGTGTTGATTGGTTGGCCTCCGCACCCAACCAGTACACACCCTTGACTGGAATTGAACCCGGGACCCCTCAGTCTGAGGGCCAACGCTCTATCCACTGAGCCAAACCGGCTAGGGCCCAGGCATACATTTCTATATTTTGAAAAATTGCTGGCAGAGATTTATAAGATGAAAGACTAAGTATTTTAGTTTTGAGATACTCTTGACGTTTTAAGTTTTTGCTACAGTTTATTGACTCTTATCCAGTGATTTTGCTCTAGAGGTTTTTATTGTGGGGTCCTTTTAGAAAGTTATAATTTAGTCTACATTCTAGTCTAGTCTCTATTCTAAATCCAGAATTAAGTTATTGACATTCAAATGCTTTAGGATTTTTTGAGAGGTTAGATTAAGACCGGAACAAGCTTAAAAAGCTTATCTTTGTGCTGCTTCAAGGCAAAGCATAGGCTACATGACCTTCTGGAATGTTCTAGGGAAGCTCTTGTAGAAATTCTGATTTGATTCAGATTTCCATAGGATAGCTTGAAAATGCCAAGTGTTGTCTGGCATGCAGATTTGACTTACATCCTTGAATTCTCCTAAATCACTGAGATTATTATGATTATCCAATTTTTGCTATGAAATCTGCAGTGTTTGCTTTGCAGTAAACCACTGTGAATTCTCCTGTAAGAAAAAATTCCTCTTCTTTCCTTCTTTTCCCTTTTTCTTGGCTGTGTAGAAGAAGACTCTTAATATCCTTAGAATACATCTATATTCAGTTTGTGATTTTCAAAGTTCTTTCCCATGTATACTCATTTGACTATTCTTCCAGGATCCTTTGAGGTTGTATTATTGCCATTTACGTAGCTGAGAGGAAATATAACTTACCCAGGATTACACAAGTCCAAAGTGGTAGGGCTAGGGTTCATTCAGCTCTAAATATGGTGCATTAAGCACTTGAACCCAGGTTTTCTGGCTCCAAAAGTTCTATAACTTGTTATCCCATTATATTGCTGCTTACACAATATAATGGGATAACATACGGCTATTTTTGCACCCATTCCACAAGGTAAACTTTTATCCCTGCAATCTCACCAGCAAAATCAAAACGTTTGGGACAAATTACTCTGGTTTTATATCTGTCTATTTAACTTTTAAAAGTTCAAAGGTGGGGTTTAGTGTTGATTTAGTAGGAAGAGTAACACAAAAAATACGTGAATTAATTTATTCTTTTGTGAATATTTGCAGTGTGGAGCGTTATGATCCAAGTAAGGATTCCTGGGAGATGGTTGCATCTATGGCAGATAAAAGGATCCACTTTGGTGTGGGTGTCATGCTGGGCTTTATTTTTGTGGTAGGTGGACATAACGGTGTCTCACATTTGTCAAGCATTGAAAGATATGATCCTCATCAAAATCAGTGGACTGTGTGTAGACCAATGAAAGAACCCAGAACAGGTAATAATAATTTACTGATTTCGAACATAGAAGATAATATTTTTATAGTGATGTTCTTGGAATAGTAGTTCTTTGGAATATAATAGTAAAGAGTATTACTTGTTCAGAAAAAAACACACTTTTGTGGTAAACTTGCAAGGTAACGAGATTAGACAAAACCACATAGATTTCTTTATTGTGGTTTTAATATGCCAGTGTGCATATTATCATTTCTTAAACTTGGAGAACACATTTTGAGATATGCTGGTAATAGAATGTATCTTATAGAAACTCTTTTTGTCCATATAACAAATGCCATCTTTTTATATGTTATACGCATACACAGACACAGAATCCTTGGATGTTCTATTTTGTTTTTTATTGCACATCAGCACTTCTATATTCACTTTCAAATGTCCTCTCTTCCTCAAGGGGTATAGTTAAGAAAAGTCTGAATTTCAGGGTTCCTAGAGAAAAACAATTACATTAAGGAAAAGAAGAAATTATCTTTCAGTTCTACTAAGTAACATCATTTTAAAGGGAAAGTTTTAAGTTACTGATGGAATATGTTAGTATTCTTTGCTTTTGTGATTTAAGAAACTTGTGAAACATAAACATACAAAGGAAACTGAAAGGAACAATGGAATGAACTATTAGTTGTTTACTATAGTTTGTGTAGCATCATTGCGAGAGAAAGCCATAAAAAAAGAGAATGTAAAAAATTTAGGCAGCCTTGTTCTTTTTAAAACTATAAAATATAAAGTAAAATTTTTAGAGCATAAATTATGTAGCTCAATAGATACTTTTGAATATTTTGAATATAGGTTTCCCCTGCTCCTCAAAAAAAGAGCATTATTATGAAACCTTTTCTAAACCGAAGTGGCTAAAGCCTAGAAGCAGTTACCTTAGGTGGCTTGATGCTGAGATGCTGAGGGTAGTTCCCAGGGAAAGAGCTTGGCAGTGTCACTCTCGCTGCTTGGTGCGTGCTGCCTCTATAACAGATTGCTGCAACAAAATAAATGCTCATTGCTAGTTTTGCTTTTTGCTATTTTTTTGTAAAAACAAAAATCCTCTTCAGATTTCTTTTGATTAGTGAAACAGGTACAATTGACCCATGAAGAACATGGGTTTGAACTGCTTTAGTCCGCATATACATGGTTTTATTTGTGTGGTATTTTCTTCAAAAAATACTGTATATACTAGTATATTTTCTATTCATTATGATTTTCTTTTAAAAAAATATATTTCATTGAAATTTTTACAGAAAGGAAGGGAGAGGGATAGAGAGTTAGAAACATCGAAGAGAGAGAAACATCTATCGACTGCCTCCTGCACACCCCCTACTGGGGATGTGCCTACAACAAAGGTACATGCCCTTGACCAGAATGGATCCTGGGACCCTTCATTCTGCAGGCCGATGCTCTATCCACTGAGCCAAACTGGTTAGGGCCATTATGATTTTCTTAATATTTTTTCTCTAGGTTACTTCATTGTAAGAATACGGGATATAATACATGTAATTACAAAATATGGGTTAATCAACTGTTTATATTATTGGTAAGGCTTCCAGTCAGTAGTAGGCTCTTACGTTTTTGGGGAATCGAATTTTTTACTGTGCAGGTGTTGGCACCCCTAACCCCTTCATTGTTCAAGGGTCAATTGTAATATAGGTCTTTTGTGAAGCAAAATGGTGTAACGTGAACTTTGAAAAATGGGATACTTGTATTTGAAAACTTGATGAAAATGAATTATTTCTTGAAAAAAATATGTAGATATCAAATGAGACGAAAACATATGAAAAGATATATACTGCATTCTTCTTTTAAATGTTTGTTCATTATTCATTAACAATGTTGAGGCCCTGGCTGGTTTGACTTAGTGGTTGGAGCATTGGCCCGGCCCATGGACTGACGGGTCACAGGTTCGATTCTGGTCAAGATCACATACCTCAGTTACAATCTTGATTCCCAGTTCTGGTCGTCACGTGTGGGAGGCAACCAATTGATGTGCCTCTCTCACCTCGACCCTTCTTTCTCTCTGTCTCTCCTCCTCCCTTCCACTTTTTCTAGAGGTTAACGGAGAAAATATTATTGGGTGAGGGTTAAAAAAACACACGTTGTGTTACAAACATTCCAATTCATAAATAGTTAAGGTGGGTGGTATAGTATACTGCATTCTCTTTTTTTTCTTTTTTTCTTTTTTTCCTCATCCAAGTCTTTAGTAAGTACTTACCAGATGAACAATTTGGTGCAGATATTAAAGGAATACAAAGATGAATTTTAAAATGGTGCCAACTCTCAAGGAGTTTGCAATCTAATACTAGTGACAGATAGTTTAACACAAATTGTAGGAAAGGAATTACTGCATTTATTTATTTATGTGTGTGTGTGTGTGTGTGTGTGTGTGTTGATCTTCACCCAACAATATTTTTTCCATTCATTATTTTCATTATTTCCCAAAGAGTAGAAGGGGATGAGGGGGACAGGGGGAGAGAAAGAGAGAGAGAGAGAGAGAGAGAGAGAGAGAGAGAGAGAGAGAGAGAGAGAGAGAGAGAGAGAGAGAAACATTGATGTGAGAGAGACACATTGATTGGTTACCTCCTGCATACACTCCAACCTGGGCAGGGATGGAACCTGCAACCAAGGTACATGCCCTTGACTGGACTATAGCCTGAGACCCTGTGGTGTGCGGGCTGATGCTCTAACCACTGAGTAACCCTGGCCAGAGCTGCTTTTTTAAAAGAAAATGTTTTATTGATTTTAGAGAGGAAGGGAGAGGAAGAGAGAGATAGAAACATTGATTGGCAGCCTCTTGCATGCCCCTACTGGGGATCAAGCCTGCAACCCAGGCAAGTGCCCTGACTGGTAATCCAGCTGGTGTCCTCTTAATTCACAGGTGTACGCTCAACCACTGAGCCACACCCACCGGGACAGGACTGTGTTTTTAATATTTTTTTTGTGGTGTAGGAAAGGGAGAGTATGATTGGGGAAAAGAGGTGAAGGAAGCCTTCAGCTCTTACTTTACTTTTTTATTCAGGGATATTTTCCCAGTGAGCTCATCCTATAAAAATCTTAACATGAAAAACGACCAGTCGCTATGATGCACAATGACCACCAGGGGCAGACGCTCAACGCAGGAGCTGCCCCCTGGTGGTCACTGTGCTACCACAGGGGGAGCACCGCTCAGCCAGAAGCCAGGCTCACAGCTGGCAAGCACAGTGGCGGTGGTAGGAGCCACCCAGCGTCCACTGCAGGCGGGCGGTAAGGAGTGAGAGGTCCTGGACTGAGAGAGCTCCGGACTGCAAGAGGGATATCTGACTGACGGCTTAGCCCCAATTCCCGGGCGTATCAGGCCTAAGCCGGCCGGTGGACATCCCCTCAGGGGTCCTGGACTGCAAGAGGGTGCAGGCTGGGCTGAGGACCCCCCCTTGCCCCCCCCCCCCCCCGTAGTGCACGAATGTGCATCAGGCCTCTAGTATTACTATATTGCTTGTATAATTAATAATGGATTATTGATATGTATTTTAAGAAAACATTAAAATACAAATTCACTTATTTTTAGTGAGAAGTCTACTAGATGCTTAATGTGTTTTTTTCCCCATTTTTATTCACCTTTCCTAGGAGTTGGTGCTGCAGTAATCGATAACTACCTTTATGTAGTCGGTGGTCACTCAGGGTCTTCCTACCTGAACACCGTGCAGAAATATGACCCTATCTCAGATACATGGCTGGATTCAGCTGGCATGATATACTGTCGCTGCAATTTTGGGTTAACTGCACTTTGACAAGTGTGGACTCATGGAAATAGTGAGGTGAAGAACTTCGTGCCGCATGAAAGGAGCCCAATTTTCTGAAACCCCAAAGCTGCATTGCTTTTTAACTAGAAATGTCATGAAGACTCAGCATTTTGTTGGGTACTTTGAACTGACAAGTAGCTTTGGTTGCTCTTGATTACAGTGAATCAATAATCAAAAAAAAAAAAAAAAAAAAAGGAAAGATCTTGCCAATTGAATTGTGCACCTTTTTCCTTTAATACTGGCATAAAGTAGTTTCTTTTAATTGTATTTATTGCTTTTAGAGAAAGAGGAAGGGAGAGGAATAGAGATAGCAACATTGACGAGAGAGAAACATCGATCGGCTGCCTCCTGCATGTCCCGCACTGGGGATTGAGCCTGAAACCCAAGCATGTGCCCTAACCAGGAATTGAACCAGTAACCTCCTGGTTAACGGATTGATGCTCAACCACTGAGCCACACCAGCTGGGCTGACATAAAGTAGTTTTATGTTCATAAGTGTACATGTGAAAAACTTGGTTTTTAAAAATATTTTTAGCTCTCTCCCTCCTTAATATGCACCATGATTACTAGGATGAATGATGTTTAGATGCTGCAATGTAGTGAATGTCTGGACAGAGTACTGATACTGTCTATTGGATATAAGTTCAAATGCTTCACATTTTAAATAAAGGGCTGCACTTTTTTGGTACTTTTAAGGGGTATAAATTACACACTCTAGTGAATCACCTGGACATTCTTCCTGCTAAATGGCTTTAGGGCTGGGGCTGTAATAACTTTGCAAAACAAATGCTTTTACTATCATGATATTTGGGGGCCTGTTAAAAGATATTTACTGTTTATATCTTTTTTACGTGGGCAGGTTAATGCTGGAAGAAGTTACTTATCCAGTTCTGCTATGCTAAGCATGGATAGAGTTAAGCACATCAGTTTATTTTTTTAGTAGTACAGCAAGCTTCCCAGTGTTGATGCACATAAATGACAAATATTTAGTATCACCCTTAGTGCATATTGATTTTTTTATATATCCTTATAATAATTTCAGGTTTTAAGACATTTGTTTGCTTTTTCAAAGTGTTTTTAGATATAAAAATGGTGCTAATGTAGGAGCTATAACAAGGCTATAACGATGTTCTTTTGGATGTTCAGTATGAAATTTGCATGACATGTTTTGATAGTATTTTTCATTTTGACTGGCTTGATTTATTTGTGCTTATTAAAAATGTTAGTGAATATACTAATGTTAACATCCAAAAATTATCTAAATGATATTCTATGCTTTCCATGGTTCCTGAATAATGATTTAAAGAAAGATACATTTTTTTATCTTCTTTCTTATGCTAGATATTACATGTCCTTCTAAAAAAACAAAAATATATGCATTAAATATAAAGCACTAGGCAGTTATGCATTACTCCACATTTCTTGGTAACTGAAAATTTTAAAGTCATTGAGGAAAACTGGAACTCATTGTTTACTTGAGTAATGGTTCTAAATTTGGTTCTACTTTGACTAAAGAAATGATCTTTTAAAGCAAAATGGTTTGCTGTTGCCAAGTGACAGCTTATTTAAAAGAAGTGGATGATTCATTTTGTTTTAGCATGTTTTACAAAATGTCCATTAGACTTGAACACATTACCTTGCATTTTATTAGGATGTCGGTACTTTTATTTTTGTTACTATAGTAATTTCATTTTCTTCTTCATTATTTTTTTTTACTTGTCCACCATCTCTTTATAGTCTAAAATACCAGTGAATATTTGTAAGAAAAATTAACTGCATTCTTAAGTGCCATAAGGTTCTCTAAACTATTGTTAAGAAGCCATTTGTAATTATAAAACGTAAGTTAATTTGTTAGCATACATGTTATTTCTTAAAAACTGTAGCTGGCAATTTGCTGTTTTCCTTGTTCTTCCATAAACTGCCAGTTGTAGATTTAAATATATACTACCAAATTATTTAAAAGTCATCTTTAAACACAAGTAGTATCATGCTTTATGAATATTTGCACAGATTATAAAACCTTGCAAGTGATTTTTAGTCTCTTGTAAATAAGAACTCAACAGGAGCTACTAATAAACTTCACAGGCTATTTTCTATGTTGCTTGTTTAAATCACAATGATATATAGCAATAACTTTTTAATTGATTTAAATAAATTTTGTGGATAGAAACAAGGTGCATTATTGTGATTGGCCTAGACTTTATTTAAAGAAAAAGCAATTTAAAATGGATTCCATCACATATTTGGTTTAAATTTCCAAACTCAGTTTTCTTTCTATTTATATCAATAAAGTTGTTAAATACATCCTGTCATTCTATATTTAATCCTTTCTCCCTAGAAGGGAATTTGAAAGACTAGAAAATTATTTTAATCATAAACAGTGCTATACTACACATTTTATTTTAATTATGTTTTATTCAATGTATCAGTGCCACTCTCAAATTAAAACAGAATATATAAATCATTTGGTAAATTAGATCAAAAGCATCTCTTAATCGTTGTTTTGGAAAAAATTTGAATTTCATGTTGAAGAAGACTAAATGTGAAATATTTGGGGCAATAATAGAAGCCATATACCAGAGAAAAAATTATGAAAACCTATAAAATAAAGGGAAAAAAGAAAACAAATTTAGAAATATTTATTTCAGGTTTGCTAAAGCTGCTCTACTATTCATAACAACCTTAGGTGTTAATGTGATTTGACAACTAATAACTATACAGCAGAACCTTCTTGTACAGATTTATGAGAAGTTTCATTATGAATACTCGGCTGATAAATTATGAATTTAATGTCACATGTTTCTGATACTAAAAAGGATAAAGATATTTAACTATAAATTCACAGGGTTAAAGATGTTAGACATAATTTTATATAATCAAGGAGAAGACAGCTAATTAAGATTGCCCACAAATATTTTTTTTAAAGTGGCAGTGAGAAATAGAGATTGTCTAATCAGTTGGAAGATAATTGCCTTTTATGATTACTTTATGAGGACATAATCAGTTAGGAATGTTTGGCTATTTAGTATTTGCTGACTATAGTAATAGAACTTAAGTGATTTTTAAAGTAGACCAAAGGATATTTATGTAAGTTCTGTATGTTATTGCTGATATTGTTTTAGATATGAATGAATATAAAATTATAGGAAGTGGTATCAAGTGATAGAAAAATGGCATTCACTAGGTTTTGAAAATTATTTTGATAGCTTGACAAATATGGAGGGTCTACTATCTGTATGAGATATTGTGCTAGATGCTATAGAGGCTAGAAATATAAATAGGATATAATCTTTTCATTCAAAGAATAAAATATAGTGAGGGAGACCTATACCCAAAGTGATAAAGTGTGAATCTAATTCCTTATCTCCAACATCATAATTAATTAGAGACCCAGTTTATGTATAAACATTTGTATCCTTTTGTGTTCAATTAGGTTTTATTGGCATGAAAGAGATTTATAAAAAAAAACCCCTAAAATATATAGAATTCCAAATTCCCTGGAATTTGATAATATATTTTCTAGTAGGCAAACAAAATCATAGAAGCTTAAAAAAAATACTATATTATCAATGCTCTGGCTGATACTAAAGGAAATATGTGTACATATAATGTTCTGTTTGTTTTCAGTTTTGGTGTTGGATTTCTGGTATTCTCACCTAAGTGCTCATTTTCAGGAAAATAAGATTCCACCATAAATATACTGCTTAAAGTTCAGTAAACTGGTGATAACCTCTATAACCTCTGTAGTTTGAAAGTTAAGAATTATAAGATATCACCTGTCAAGGTAACATCCCGTTCTACCTTTTAACCTTTTTTTTTCCTTTGTAAAGCAGCACTTTAATTAGACATTTGATTAGATGCAATTATTCTGTGGCTGGATAGAAATTGGGTTTTCGCTTACAGTATATTGATTCAGTGTTGATACATATTTGAAAAGAGTGAGGACTACAATAAGTTTTAAAACTATAGGTTTACAAGTTTTCTTATTGGTGTGAATATGGAGTCAAATAAAAATCCAGTTTACATCTCTGCAGAGAGAAAAATTGTTATCCATATGTCTTTTATATTACACATATTTAAGTAGGGATATTTATTGTTACTTTTGTCAGATTATCATGTGTAAGTCCAAGCAAAAAGTTCCAAGTTTGCCTTAAAATACAAGTGAAATAAAAGAACTGGATAATAATGCCTATATTTTTGCCTTATGAATTGTGCTGTATCATAAACCAGAGATGGTTTTGATTTTAACAGAATTCTGAAATTTTATAGATGTAGAGTACTATATATGTACTCTCTTGCAAAGAATGTGAGCTAGTGTGGATTATGTTAATATTTAAATGTTTTTGTATGTGTATTTTACCTCTGAATAGTTACCTTTTAGCATCAGGGTTTCATTTTAATTTTGTTTACATAGTAAAGTGGCATTAACTTGTTGAAGGTTGTATTCTTTTGTCTTATTTTAAAAGTTCTTTGTATGTACTATTGTGGTATGCTCTGTAGTGACTATGTTTAGAATAAATTTGAAAAACATGACTTTGTATGTGTCAGTTGTTGTGAACTGACCTAAACTAACTTGTTTATGCTCAACTCTTAGATTCTTCTTGGTAGATAGGTCGTAGTCACAAAAGTTGAGGTAAATGTAGGATAGCCATTCATTAACACACTTATTAAAGAAACATTTATTAGCAAAGCAGGCACAAGAGTTCAGTGGGTAAGTTCAGTGCTGTCCCTGCTTTCTATCCTTTAGATTCTCTAACCAGTCTTTAAGAAGGTTTACTTGAGGCAGACAAGGTAGCAGTCCAGAGGATTTTGTTACCTTATGGCCAGCGTCAGGTAACAGCAGTCCTCCTTAAAGAGAGGCTGAGCTCCAGGTGCCATCTTTAAGGTAGTTGTAAACTATAGATTTGAATGGATTTAGATAACCTGTCCATGTAAGGATTGGAAATGTCTCATATTTTTAGATAACCCATAGTCTTGAAAAGGGGTTTTTACTTTCATTCCTGTTTTTATTTTTATTTTTAGAGAGAGTAGAGGGGGGGAGGAGAGATACAGAGAGAGAAACATCACATAGATCAGTTGCCTCCTGCACAGGCCCCGACCAGGGCCAGGGATTGAGCCTGCAAGCAAGATACATGCCCATATCCAGAACTGAACCTGAGACCCTTCAGTCCACGGGCCAACGCTCTATCCACTGAGCCAAACCGGCCAGGACTCATTCTTGGATTTCAATGTATGTTTGTTTTTGTTTTTTAGCCTAAAAATCTTGGTTTCTATCAAGATGGCAGGGAGTAGCTGGATGTTACACTCACCTCCTAGGAGCAAACTGGCATCACTGTGCCCCATATCCTATATAATAAAGGGGGAATATGCAAATTGACCATCACTCCACCACAAAGATGGCAGCACCCACAGTGGAGGCGGGGCTTCCCATAACACAAGATGGCTGCGCCCACAACGGAGGCAGGGTTTCTGTAACACAAGATGGCTGTGCCCACAGCAGAGGCCAAGTTCCTGTAACAAGCCTTAATGAGCAATTAGCAGGGACCTGAGGCTGTGCCCCCCACCCTGGCCCAGGCTGGGGGACCTCAGGCCGCGCCCGCTTCCCCGGCACCAGGCCAGGGGACCTAAGGTTGCGCCTCCTGCCCAGCGGGGCTTGACAAGGGTGGGATTTAGCCCAATTAGGGAGAGGGGGCGACCGGGTCTGGGTCTTGTGTGATTTTGAGGCACACGTGAGTGGGTGGGGACTTGACTCTAGGTCCTGTGGTGCACCCCAGACTCTGACAGGAGGAAGGTTTTCATATACATTTTACTAATTTTCTTTCATTTCTGACACTTCTATTATAGAGAAATGGCAAATAGCAATAGTAAAATATTTCCTCTAATTAACCCTTTTAATGTGCACGAATTTTGTGCACCGGGCCACTAGTCTATCAAGAGGCCCAAGTCCCAGCACTAGCACTAACCTGCCTTGCTTCACAGCTGGGCCTCACCTGGGCAATTCCAAGCCCAATACAAATAACAACCATCTGCAGATCGCTCTGTAGCTTCTGCCAGGTAGCCTCAGGCAGTGGCTGACTTTGCCATTCCTGGGAGGCCCAGAGCCAGTGCACTCGGTGGACAGCTTCAGGCCATACCAGATTACAACTCTACACATCCACAAGCAACATACTCAAGGGGAAGACTCAGTGAACACCAAAGCCTCACTGAAGCAAGTCCTGCTCCATAGGGGTATCTCTTGCATAGCAGCTCTCCCACTGTAGTCACAGCTGTTTCTCACAGCCAATTGGCCTGGGGTTCAATTCCTCCCAGTAACATCAACAGCAATTAAGGCTCAACTACAACAAGACTGTGCACACAGACCACAAATGGCACACCTAGAATGCTCAGCTCAGGTGACTGAGGAGGCTGAGCCACTGGGCCTTACAGGACCCCTACTACACAAAGGCTACTCTACCAATTCCAGGAGACATAGAAACTCTACCTAATATATAGAAACAAACACAGGGAAGAAGCCAAAATGTAAAGACAAAGAAACATGTCACAATGGTTATAAGGTTGCTCAAGGATCTTAATGAGAGCTTCAAGGGATTCAGTGAGACTTTCAAGGATCTTAGAATTTCAAAGACATGAAAAAGGACAGGGTAGAAATTAAGCATACACTAACTGAAGTAAAGAATAATTTACAGGGAATCAACAGTAGGGGATCTGAGAATATGAGGAAGCAAAAAACACCCAATCAAAAGATTAAAAAAGTAAAAATATGAAGATAGTGTTAAGAAGCCTCTGGGACAACTTCAAACATACCAACATTTGCATTATGGGGGTGGCAGAAGGAGAAAAGAGCAAGATATTGAAAACCTATTTGCAAAAATAATGACAGAAAACTTCCCCTATTTGGTGAAGGAAATAGAATTACAAGTCCAGGAAGTGCAGAGTCCCAAACCAGAGGAACCCAAAGAGACCCACACGAAAACACATCATAATTAAAATGCCAAATGTTAAAGTCAAGAGAGACTCTTAAAAGCAGCAAGAGAAAAGCAGTTACCTACAGGGGAGTGCCTGTAGAACTGTCAGTTGATTTCTCAACAGAAACTTTGCAGGCTGGAAGTGACTGGCAAGAAATATTCAAAGTGATGAATAGCAAGAACCTACAACCAAGATTACTTTATCCAGCAAAGCTATCATTCAGAATTGAAGGTCAGATAAAGAGCTTCACAGATAAGAAAAAGCTAAAGGAGTTCACCACCACCAAAACAGTATTATATGAAATGTAGAAGGGTATTCTTTAAGATGAGGAAGAAGGAGGAGAAGGAAGACGAGGAGGAGGAGGAGGAGGAGGAGGAGAAGGAAGAGAATGAAAATAAATCCATATCTATCAACAATTGAATCTAAAAATCAAAATAAATGAACAAGAAATATAATGAACAAAATAAACTGATGAATAAAATGGAACCAGAGGCCTGGAACAGACTGACAGATCTCAGAAGGAAGGGGTAAGGGGCACAGGAAGAAATTAACCAAAGGTCTTATATGCATATATGCATTTTCTATGGACACAGACAATAGGGTGGTGAAGGCCTCGGGCAGGGCTGGAACCAGGTGGAGGAGGGAAATGGGGGGAAAAGAGGGACATCTGGAATACTCTCAATAATAAAGTTTAAAAACTAAACAAATAAAAACAAACCTATATCCAGTCCCATCAAGGAAAAGAGAGATCCCTAGCTGGTTTTTCTCAGTGGGTAGAACATCAGCCTGTGGACTGAAGGGTCTTGGGTTCAATTCCAGTCAAGGACACATACCTCTCCCTGGCCCTGGTGCCTACAGGAGGCAACCAATAGATGTTTTTCTCTGTGTCTATCCTCCTCCCTTCCACTATCTCTAAAAAGCAATGGAAAAATATCCTCGGGTGAGGATTAAAAATAAATAAACCTTTTTTTAAAAAGAAGAAAAGAAATAGAAAGGACCAAAATAAATAAAACCAGAAATGAAAGAGGAGAAGTTAAAACTGATTCCACAGAAGTGCAAAGGGTTGTAAGAAAATATTCTGAACAATTATACTATAGGTCAACAAATAGGACAATCTGTACAAAATGGATAAATTATTAGAAATACTCTTCCAAAACTGAATAGGAAGATTCAGAAAATCTGAATAGACAGAACACAACTAATGAAATTAATGCAGTAATAATAATAATAATAAAAAAACTCCCAACAAACAAAAGTCCTGGACCTGATGGATTCCCAGGTGAATTTTACCAAATATTAATAACTAACACCAATCTTTTTCAAACTATTCCAAAAAATTCAAGAAGAAGAAAACTTCCAAGCTAATTTTATGTGGCCAGCATTATCCTAATTCCAAAACCAGATAAAGACAATACAAAAAAATAAAAGTCTAGGCCTATATCCCAGATGAACATAGATGTTAAAATTCTCAACAAATTATTAGCAAACCAGCCATGGCCAGATAGCTCAGTTGGTTAGAGCATTGTCCCCATATGCCAGGGTTGCTGGTTTGATCTATGGTCAGGGCACATACAATAATCAACCATTGAATGCATAAATATGTGGAGCAACAAGTTGATTTCTCTCTCTGTCTCTCCCCCAGTTCCTCTTTCTCTAAAAAATAAAAATAAAATAACATATATAATAGTATATGCACTTAAAAAAATACTAGCAAATCATATCCAACAATACATTAAAAACATCATACACCAAGATCAAGTGGGTTTTATTCTGGGGATTCAACATTAGCTCAATATCCACAAAACAATGAATGTGATACATCACATAAACCAAAAGGAAGTATAAAAATCATATGATTATATCAATAGATGCAGAAAAAACTTTTGATAAAGTCCAGCATCTACTAAGATAAAAACTCTCAGCCAAATGGGAATAGAGGGAACATATCTGAACACAATAAAGGCCATACTTGACAACCCACAGCCAACATTATACTCAACTAGAGGCCCGGTGCACAAAATTCATGCATGGGGGAGAGGAGGGGAAAGGTTGTCCCTCTCACTATCCAGGACTGCTGGCTCCCAACTGCTTGCTTGCCTGCCTGCCTGATTGCCCCTAACCGCTTCTGCCTGCCAGCCTGATCACCCCGTAACCACTCCTCTGCCAGGCTGATTGATGCCTAACTGCTCTCCTGCTGGCCCGATTGGCCCTGACTGCCCTCCTCTGCTGGCCTCGTCACCCCTAACTGCCCTCCCTTGCCAGCCTGGTCACCCCTAACTGTCCTCCCCTGCTGGCCTTGTTGCCCCCAACTGCCCTCCCCTGCAGGCCTGGTTCCCCCCAATTGCCCTCCCCTTCAGGCCTGGTCCCCCCCAACTGTCCTCCCCTACAGGCCTGGCCCCTCCCAACTGCCCTTCCCTGCTGGCCTGATCGCCCACAACTGCCTTCCCCTGCTGGTCATCCTGTGGCGGCCATCTTGTGTGTTAGAGTGATGGTCAATTTGCATATTGCCTCTTTATTATATAGGATGGGCAAAAACTACAAGCATTTTTCTTAATATCAGGGATAAG